TCACCACCCCTATTCATCCCGTGGGTGTCGTAAGAGCCGACTAAGGGAGCACACTACGCAGGACAACAGCACTGCAAAGACAAGGCAATCTTGAAACAAACCCTATACCAACCCGTGTTGCCACCGTGGTATAGTTGGCCAAACGCTTCTTTCTAAGGAGAGGCCTATGTCCAGCAGTGGACTAATAAAGGCTGTAGATGATGATGATCATTTTGGTAATATCTCAGACTACTTGGGATCCGTCAATGTTAATTAAAATTTTATTTTAATTTATATTAATCAATTCAGTATCAATTCTTCCACAAACTTCTCTTTCGTAAATCGTATATATTGAAAAATAAATTAAAAACGAAAACTTCGTTAATTATTATATTCAAATAATTAACATTATTAAAAATAATACCGAGCCTGACTCATGCTAAATTGTAATACGCTGTGTTCTTCGTCCAAGATATGACTTTTTTTCAATTTAAGCGGGACCACCTTTATGTAAAACCAATTTACTTAAAATAATTGTTAAAATCGGTTTAAATATCGCGTAACAAACACACGAAAAATATATTTCGTTGAATTGCGAACCTGAAGGCAAATTCTCGTAATAAAAGTTCGATCACAATCCAGTTCCGATCGACTCTCGATCTCACAACTATCATAAAAGGTATTTTGGTAGTAAAATAGTAAAGTATTACTAAGACTAGCAGATTACCGATTCAATTTTCGGTTACAATACGATATAATCACATTACAGTCAACGTTGGATGTTTAATACTTTACTACGAAAATACCTTTTATGATAGTTGTGAGATCGAGAGTTGATCGGAACTGGATTGTGATCGAACTTTTATTAAGAGAATTGGTCTTCTTGTGATTTTCAAAGTCGGTTAATTATTTCAAAATTACTCGAATAAGTCATGTAATGTTACCAGCTCAACTTTTATCACTGACCTGCTGTACCCTGCCACGCTTCGCTTTTTCACGTTGTGGTTGTATTTGAATGTAACGCTGTCTCTCGACTAATGGCCGCTTTTGGGTCCAAATTAGTCCGACATACCCATAATACACGTGAAAAAAAAATTCTTTGTTGTGTCATGAAAACCACTTACGATAATTTTATTCTAATATTCGATGGTTAAATAAAATTTAAAAACCAGCTGTTAACTGGCTCAATGTTGTTGCCCATAAAAATAGGAGTCTTTTAACTTTTGTTGAAATTTAAATTTTTAATGCGTTTTGCATAAAATTTAATAAATAAATATGGAAAAATATTAATTTTATAAAAATATATATATGAAAATTATAAATTGGGGTTAGTTGTTTAAATTATATTTATAAAGTTTTCTCCCCTCATCTATTTTATTAATGTTTACAAATTAATGAATAGTGTTAAATTTAAAAAATTGGCGGTTATAAATATTAAATATACAAATTATTATAAAAATTCTTTAAAAAATTGGCGTTTTACTATATCAATTATTCTCTTATATAAAATTAATCAACCCTATTCTTTAATTAAGAGAAAACTTAGTAAAAAAAATATATGTATTTACTACGGAAATACATATATTTTTTATTTATACAAATCTATACATAATATATATAAAACGTACCGTCCTCCTTTTCAAAATGTATTCCTAAGAAAGTATTCAAGAAATGCCTATGAGTCTTGACGATACCTAAAAAATTAATTTGAAAGATAACTTAAAGGTATTAGATCTTTTTTGATAAAGTTTAAATAAAAAAAATAGACTGTTATTCGATCGTTAAAACTATTAAGTCATTTATTATAATACTATGGGGTCCATAACATGCATTTTTAATTTTATTTTTAAAATGTGGGTAGTATGAGAATTCTAATGCTTATTTTTGTAAGGCATTAATACGTATTCATTTTTAGACTTACTTTCGTTTATATTTAGTATTTTAAATATTCTTTAATTTGATTTGTTTAGTCATTGTGATGTTGATCAAATTAATAAGAACGAATATGGTAAAACGAAAAATCTTGTGAATAATTTTAAATATTTTCTTTGTATAAATTCGGTGCTAATTTCTGTTAAATTAATTCTTTTTATAATTATTATTGTTAAGTACATCTTTATAAATCATGACATGTTTTAGTAATAAACATTAGATAAGTATTAGAATACGATATTCTCGCTTTCAACAATCATATAATTCTTCAAATATCAAATACTGTTAACGATAGTTGATATTTGTCGAGCGATAGTTAGTGCTCTGATATTTGAGATTTTCTTTTCGATATCGAGTTGATCTATTGGATGTTTTTGAATGTAAAATGTCGGTATTACTGAAATTAAATTATTATAATTGATATAACATTTTTGGAAACGTCATGTAATAAATGCAATGTACAAGTTGTTACGTTGTAGCGAATACATGAATAAGCCAATTCGGACTATCCGTAATAGTCAGTAATGAAACACATATCAGAAATATATTTAGTAATTTGAAAAAATATATTTGAAACGTTGACCCTGACTACTAAAGTCGTAGATTCGATTCCCACCCAGGACAAATAATTGTGTGATGAGCACGATCATTTGTTCTGTGTCTGGGTGTAATTTATCTATAATATATATAAGTATGTTTATCAGCAGTCTGGTTACCATAGTACAGGCTCTGTTTCCTACTTTGGGATCAGACTGTCATGTGTGAAATGTGTGGAGTTATTATTATTAGTTCTTCAACTTCATTCTTTGGGTCCGCACTGTCTTGGGGAGACACAAGTTCCTCCACACACATACAAAAAAATTGATCAAATATAAATATCAAAACGTGATATTCCTAGATATTCAGATTTTGGATATGTAAGGCCCTTTTCATTCTATGTATACTTTGACATTACACGCCGTCGTATATACCTAGATGTTTTTTTTTTTTGTATTTTCTAGGAAATGTTTGATTGTTTTATTAAAATTACTTTTTGGTTTGATGAGATATAATGGTGGCTCTAAACTAAACTAAAAATCACTAAAAATTTCTTTTGTCCTGTCAAATAACGTTTCCTGTTCTGAAAACGTAGAATTTGGCAGGACTCAAATATTTTTTAGGGTTGTTTAGTTTAGAGAGTTTTCGAACAATAGAATTAGCACCATTGTTTGTATTTGTTGTTCATAAGCTGACTATTACGACATTGTAATATTTTCGCCCAAATTAATAATTGTAAGCTAGCATTATTGATATTAAATGTTATTAAATAAGTATTAATAATAATTACTATTGCATCGGTCAATTAATGTTAAATTACCGTCGTCCGTATTATCGCAAGGCTATTCCAAAAAAATCCGAAAATTTCTCATAAAAAAAATATTCGAATAATTTTCGAATCGCTTTGTATCTTAATTTTTTGATTGGATTGTTATATAATAGTTAATTGAATTAACGAATTTATGTCAATGATGGATCAATGTTTAATGGATGTGACTATAACATACGAATACCTAGATATAATGGTTCAAAAAAAAGATGTGTTCGCCCCACACATATTATGCGCTCGAAAGGTTTATATACATTGCGTATTTATATGCCGATATTGTCCTTACATTAGCAAGCCATGTACAGCCCTTTGATTTACAGTTTTTTCTATAAAGCTTGTAGAATTAAAATACACATATGTGGTTGTTCTTTTTTTGTCAGATACGATATTGTTTCAACTGTTATTTTTGTGTATGAAATTAACTATGGGTTTCCAAATGATCTCAAATTAAAACAATTTGGTGTGTTAGTTTCATTATAGGTGTTCGCTTTTAAAAAGTACATTATTTTTGACCGTAGGACTTATGTTTTTCCTACGGCAGACCATGTGTGGGGCCAACCAACGCTTTGATTTAGCAAAACTTCATTATTTTGGTGAAAAATGTAGTTATTTTATCCTGTATTTTGTATTTCTATTCTTTGGTTCATGACGTGTTGTGACACATTTTTGCCAGCATTTTTTTTGTTAAGATTTATATTTAAATGCAACTACAATTTCCAAAAAATAAAATTATTTAATTTAAGCTTGTATTTTGTATTTCTATTCTTTGGTTCATGATGTGTTGTAACACATTGTGTACCACATTTTTGCCAGCATTTTTTTATTATGATTTATTTTTAAATGCAACTACAATTTCCAAAAAATAAAATTATTGAAATTATGCTTGTATTTTGTATTTCTATTCTTTGGTTCATGACGTGTTGTGACACGTTGTGTACCACATTTTTGCCAGCATTTTTTTTATTAAGATTTATTTTTAAATGCAACTACAATTTTCAAGTGAGGACCAGAAGTAAAATGTTCTCTATGATGGGAAGTTTTGATATATCAAAGAATATTTTAAATTTACATGACATGTTTATAGATTAATGTTGAACGCTGTATGTATGTTTTGATGTACTATTATTATATGTGAGGAAAAGAAAAAAAATATTTGTATTTTATTTATTTTGCAAAGAAAATGTCTTTGACTTTTATTTATGTATTTTTTTCATCGTTAACGTTCAAAAGTCGATATTTTTATTTAATTGTCAAAGACATTTTTTTCTACCCTACGAAAACGCGAAAATGCAACACAGACGGTCGTGTTTTTTTTTATTTTTTTTATTTATTATCTGTAATTATTAAATCAAAATATGTTTTCACCGTACCATAGACTACTACAACTGCGTCTATATTGTCTGTGCTGCCTTTTTGGCGACGGTTGTAGGGTTTTCTTTTTTTTTATATATATACGACCGTCTCATTATGTTATAATAACGTGTTGCATTTTCTCTCTCTTTTCCCGATCCCCTGGATGGCTCTCAACTGCGACGACATACGAAAACACAAATTCCCACACACACACACACACACCAAAAAAATATCAAAACAAAATCCTCTGATGTTAAAAAAAAACTGCGGAAATTATAAAAAATAAATATAAAATAAATAATTTCCAACTTACATAAAATAAAAATGGTATAATAAATACCTGCACATCGTATAAATGGACGGCGTACAGCTACTTCAGCGCGGCGACTCCTGCGCAGAACGACAGTTTCATGGACAGTGATCTCTTCGAACAGATCCGAGCCTTCGAGCCCGAAGGACTTGACTTCGACATCTACAACAACATGAGCATGAAGTAAGGTAAGACCATAGGTACTGAATGAAGGGTAGACGGAGAACTAGCAGACGGGTCACCTGATGGAAAGTGACTACCGTCATGCACGCCTTCAACTCAAAAGACTGTTGTGGTATATTTAATGATGCCATTGTATCTATATCTAAATTGCAAAAGAGTGGCTGTGAGTTTGTTTGCCCTTTCTTCTCATAAGGCTCAACCCCTTGGAAACGGGCGGTTGTAGATCGACACAGGCACATCATAGATTTTGTTGTTAAGTATAATTTTTATTAAATTTATTTTGGCAACTAATTGACAAAACAGAGATTGTTGCTATTGTGTGTGTTGATCTACGACTGTAGTCTACTTAAAAGAAGATTTCAAATATTAAAAAAAAAATGTTCTAGTTTGAAGTGTGTTAATGCCTTTAAGTGTATCAACCTCCCCCTCCCCCCCCCCTCTCAGAGTTAACGGCCCGGTAACCTCACTCACTTGTGAAAAGCAAGTCAATAAATTGATTAATACTGGTGTCTGTGAGGTCATGGTATGACTCTGGTTTAGTGATGTAACGAATGTAAGATTTCTCACATTCGCGAATGCGGATGCGAATATTCAAGACCAAAATCGATCTTCTTCGGAGTGAATTGGCAGAACAGTTACAACGCTATTACCCGACTGAGTATTTTTATATTATATGATATTTTTGTATGTATGTGTTTTATATACTGTATATGTATTGTGTAAATTTCATATTTTATTTTTGCACCTACCGCACTATATTTCTACATCACCTGAAGGTTGAAGAATCCCCCATGGTAACGCTTTCAAGGCTAAACCGCTGAACCGATTTTAATGAAATTTCGCGAGATACATATAGATAGATACATAGAGATACTTTGATTCTTGAGGAAGGACATAGGTTACTTTTTAACGCGCAAAATCTAGTTTGACATCATTCTAAGAAATAAAAGTATACAAAAAGTTTGTAAGTTAATAGATAATAAAGGAATGTCTTACAATTCCCTCACTCGTGCTTGGTGCTAGTACATTTGAATCGCGTAACAGTCTGGCCTCATCTTTTGGCAAAAAAATTGCCTGCTTTTGGTAAAACATTCCTGGGTCCGCTACTCTATAGAGCTTGCGGCGCACCCCTGGTTCACCTTGGTTCTCCACCTGCGTGAAACACGAGGACTGATTCAAATAATGTATTTATCTTCATTTCTCGACTGTACTGATCAACAGTTGAATCTCGGAACTCTATGTAGTACCTGTGCATCACCCGGGTGGAGAACCTAGGTGAAGCACAGGTCCGGCTCCCCCCCCCCCCTCTTATACCACAAGGTGTGCACACATTGTGCCTAAAGTAGGAGGGATTCGGACACAGCTACAATTAACACACGTAGATCACTCGCTGTGTGACCAATCCTTCATTGTATAAAACTGTCAAAATTCTTAATGTCTTTTTTATTTTTGGCATCACTCTTAATAAGTTCAACTGACAGATTGAATGAATGAATGATTTTTTTTATTTTTTTATTTTTCTTACAGGTGATCCAATGGAGAGATTTTTAAGTTTACATTTTTAAGATAAAGTCATGTTATAACTACTGGGTACTTTAATTTTTTTAGTTTTTATTCGTGCCATAGTGTCTTTATACGAAATATATAAATAGATATATACAAATGTAATTAAATTTTGTTTTGTTGGGCATAAATTATAATCAATCACTTTTTTTTAAAATAAATTTGCTTATAACGTTTTAGTTTTAGAAATGATATTTTAAATAATTTTAGTTTAAATTGACTATTGACCTTAAATAATTCACGTTTCGAATTGTAATATAAATCTAACCACCCCGTTGGACCTTTTGCTGCCATTTTTTTTTAGATGATGTATCACGAGTGTAAGGCCCGATTTTAAAAGGTGTCTCAGTCGTGAATCTAATCTGTTTTTAATAGAGATTTTATCATTGAACGTATCTTAAAACGAGATTCACCGATATAAACTCGAGTGAGAGCTAGTTTATTTCAGAGGGCCTAGTGCATGTTTATTTTACATCAACTCGCTGTCGACAGCGAGCGCTTTCGGCGCTACGATTGATGAAGATTTCAGTGCGGTCACGGTGATGATCGAGTCGATGTTAAATAAACTTCACCTCAGAACGATGTTTGTATCGTAATCTTCACTTAAGTATAGATTTTGACAGATGTGAACTTTATTTATGTGAGACAAGCTGAAACCATTCTCAAAGCATTGATTTGTAGGACATTTTAGCAGAAACCAACATATTTTACGATGATTTATTTCTGGATAATGACGAAAAATAATCAATTACTTGTTTACTATATGTACATTTTGAATTCTCCTTAATTCATATTCAATTCACTTAAATTCACATTAAAATATAAATAATATAAATTAATAATTTAGCATGACAAGTGCTGATTAATATTTTGGACGTTCCTTTACTGAATAATAATGTTGATCATGTGGAAACGTAATTGAAAACAGACTGTTAGCTCAAATCAGTGCTTGAGATTAGTTTCAACTGAGTTAAACTTTTAACGCGTTCTATAATAAGATCGATGCTTAAGTTTTATTCTGAACTTAAAATTAATTTCAAATAATCAGAGTTCAACCGATAATTGAGACGTCTTTTAAAATTCGGGACTAAATGTTTCATTTTAAAAAGTCTAGTTTATAAAATATACGATTCGAAATATTATATAGTTCAAAGTGCCATAAAGTGTTAAATAGAAAAATCGAATTATAAATTCTGACATTTTCCAAATCCGTCCGAAATTCTGACAAGCGACTTCAACTTTTGATGATCATCGACATCCGATGGAGCCATTGAATTAAAAGAAGAAGAACTTTAAATGACATGTCCTTTTGACAAACTGTCAAAGCTGTCTAAAATTGAAATCTAAAAGTGAAATGTAAATATTATCTGACCGTAAACAATGTTTTTTTTTGTTTTAAAACCTTATGTTGTTTATGACTTGTTATAACTTATGCCCAATATTATTTTATAAATGTTTTTACTTTAATATCAAGAAGCCTTTGTATATTAAAATAAGATATACCAACAGTTTACACATTTTGTTTTTTAAATAGGTGACTTGTGGCATTATTGCTATAATTTTAAATTTATTGCATTTTTTTTTAAATTAGGTTTAAGTGAAAATACCATCGTACCGCAAAACAGTACCTTCAATCCTCTAATACTAATAATGATGTATTTAAAATAATAATAATGTAAAAAATCCTTTCAAGATCCGCCAAAGAGTAACGAAGACATACAGATATAAGAATAGAGCAGGCGTAAAACCGAAAACGTGTTGCCACGTGCGTAAAAGAAAGCTGCCGAGAGGTGCCCCATCTTGCTGTCTCTCTCCGATCCATGAAGAGCAATGCACTGCGCATGCTCACCTGATAAGAAAAGACAACAGGTGGGGGCCTCTCGGCAGTTTTCTCGCTCGCACCTGGTATCACTGTCCTTCTCTCTGCGCACGCATAGTACATCTCAATGAACGAAGACGATCACTACTACAGATACGCTATCGGATATCTGCGGATACGAATAGCCAGCACATCACTAAATACTCCGACAGTTATTGTTTTGCCTCTTTGCGGGATGTACCTTCGTCTATAATTAAAAAACTTATGATCAATATTTGGCATTTGTTTTGGTGCGAAACTTTTATTATTATTTCAAAATGTTTTTAAATGTAATTATGGGTTTATATATAAATATTATTTTTAAGTTGATAGATTGTGTGCTTAACAATTTTAATTGAATTTGAAATAGTAAAAATTAATTGAATATATTTGACATGTCCAAATATTGACTTTACTGAATAAAAGGGCCCGTTCGCACAGCTCGGCAATAAATCAACGTCTAATTTAATTTGCATCAAATTATGGATTATATCTATATAGATCCTGTGTGTCACAGAATTAAGCGAAAAAGAAACCCGCTGTAAAATATCGCTGTGCGGAGGGGCTCTAAGTGTGCTCTAAGATTGTTATGGAACAACCTTTGTACGTGACCTCCAAATGCAGGTGTCGAAATTTAACAAATTCTTGTTGACAAAATTGTTGTTCCCGTTTTATATACTAATAAATTTAATCAACAACCAAATCTCACCAAGGTGAGGTTATATTAAAAAAAAAAACAGTTTACGGTATTAAATGGGTGTTACTACCCTACTTAACAGTTAAAATGCCTCCTTATTTTCAATTCTGAATTATAATGTCAGATGTTAATATAAATTGTAATAATACTGTAGGTGTTCATTTAAGTCCACACAATGGTTTATACTTCTTATATATATTATTAGCACAATGAACTTCATTTGATTTTATATTTCAGACAAAAAAAATGTCCATTGAGAATTCCATGATTGTATAGTAACATTTTTCATACAAATTTTAAATGATTTGTATTAAATTATTTATATAGATTTGTGGAAATAATAAAAATACGTGAAATACACATATTTAAATCACAAATAAACAATGAAGATTCGTTTTGACATAACTGTCACCTAAACGTCAGAGAGTGCGTAAACTACGCACAAGAATTAACTAATAAAAATATGATAACATACTATAACGAGAACTACGATATCTGACAAAATATTTCTCGCGCCGACTACAATATCTCTGAATTAAATGTACAAAAAAATTGTCGTTCAATTAAATTTTATTATTGCTTTCGATTTCCCGCCAAATCGGAACGCAACGCTCTGACATACAACGCTTTTTCAGAGGCTCTATGCCTCCGAAAAAAAATAACGATTATTATTTTTATTACAATTGGACAAAATAAATAGAAACAAATAATATAATTTCAATTTATATATATTTGGAAGATATACAGATATATTTTTCCTGATCCGATCTAGATGGGCGCGCTGCCACTGGTAACTTTGTCTTACAAACTTTTCGGGATCTTTTCAACTATGATAACTAGGAAAGAAAAGAGAAGAGACGTCCGAACTGTACAAGTTAAACTCCCG